CAAATTTTTTGATTCGTGGAAAAAGCGGAATTCCTGATTTTTTTTTTCTCTTATTTGGGGAGGAGGAGGACGGGGGCGGAGGGGGAGTGGGAGAGGGTTGAAGATACGGTGTTGAATTCTCGGCACAGGATTTCGAAAGGTACTAGCAGCAAAAGCAAGGGTTAGCGACCGTTCAAGTTTCGTTAATTGCATAGTGTTTGTTTCAGTAATGTTGTTAAAAGCCCTGGGAGGACCCGGTAAAGTGTTTTGGAAGCAAGCCAGCAAAGTGGTCACAGCCGATGTGGTTGGCACACATAAAGTGGATGAGGTAAGTTTTTCAGTTTTTTAATGCACAAGTGTTATTTTTGCACTTCTTCAGTCATGGTTTACCCTTTTTCAAAATGTTGTTTTTGAAAGGCATTGACATACGAATGCGAAACGTAACTGTTGAAAGCGTAAAATGAATTCTGGTTACGATGGAAGCGATGTGTCGAAGAACGCCTGTAGGGCTGTTCGTGATCATAATAAAAATAATTGGCCAACGCACGGGCTGCTCGTGCGAAGATGCGTTTTTTGCATGGTTCCGCGCAGTTTTTGTCGCTGCCGGCACCGGTTTTTTTCGGCAAATGCTTCTAGCTAAACAAATTAAGACTGGTTACCAGAACTGTCAGAAAACATTCCTTTAAAACTTCAACTTTCTAGCTTCCCTGGCACCTGAGTTAGCAACTTACTGGAACAAAATTTTCGGGACCGTGTATATTTATCAAGCATACCTGAGAGCTAGGTTCGAGCTGAATGGAACTTAGGTGGATGGGGTATATCCTCTTAAAATTGCATTCCTTTAGTTTCTCAGGTACTTGAGTTACATTTACAAGAAGAAAATTTGGAGGGCCCATATGTGGGTACCACGCGTACCCGGAGGCTGGGTTTGAGCTCATTAGCACCTGCTTGGACGGGGAACATTCCCCTAAAATTTCAGCCTTCTAGAATCTCAAAATCCGGAGTTATGAATTTGAGCGGGAAAAATATTGGGGGGCCCGTACGCGGTTGCCACGCTTACCCGGGGTCTGGCGGGGAACATTACCCCAAGATTTCAGCTTCTCAGATCCTCGAGTTATGAACTGACCCCAAAAAAACTTTGGCGGGCCCGTACGCGGGTA